CCCCAGCCCAGCCCATGCCCCAGCCCAGTCCCTACTGCCCCAGCCCCTGCCCCAGCCCAGCCCTGCTGCCCCAGCCCCTGCCCCAGCCCAGCCCCTGCTGCCCCAGTCCCCGCTGCCCCAGCACAGCCCAGCGCAGCCCACCCATCCAGAAGTGTTGTTCTTCCCAGCGTGCTGCAGGTGGGCAGCTATAAGAGGAACATGGCTCAAAAGATGGACGGGCAGGGATGGAGAGCTCTCAGGCCCCAGCCCCCCAGGCTGGGACAGAGGGAGGCAGAAGTCCTGCAAGGTTGTAGGAGTGGAAGGCCTTCCACGGGATAGACTCTCTTAGGGGGGAAGCAGCCCTGTCCCAGCCCAGCGGCAGGGGGATGGAGCCACCCCTCCGTAACGCCCCCAGCCTGGACCCTTCAACTACCTGATTCTCGTCCCTGCTGCTTGAGTGAGGACGTGCCGCTCGTCTCTCGCTTGCTCGGGCCCTCGTTAGCCATTGTCACACTTGGCTTCCTAGACACGGAGGCCTTCATTCTCCCCGAGATCTTAGAGGACGCTGGGGCTGTCACCATGACATCCTCACTTAAATTCTGCTTGTCCCAATTTGAACGTGTGGCCGGAGTCCAGGCTTCTCCGGTAGCCCCTTCCCTGTGAACGACCCCACCTGCCCAGTCCTCCACACCAGAGCCAGAACTGGGGTGTCACCCCGACCCCCCCGTCCCCTCTGATCGGCAGCCTCGGCCCCAGCCCGTGGCAAGCCTGCACACTCGCCCCTCCCAGGCCATCCCTCCGCCCTGCGGAAGCCCCGAGACCTCTGTCCAATGCTGCTGGGATGAAGGCTTGGCTTTGCTCATCTCCCCACCCGCGCCCACTGTGCCACTCCCCAGCTCACTCACCCCTAGACTAGGGGTGTTCAAACTCGCCTGGAAGGCTTGTCAGACACACAGGCCCGGACCTGCCCCAGAGATTCTGATTCAGCAGGTCTGGAGCGGGGCCTGAGAATTTGCTGGTCCACGGACTACACTTAGAGTGGCACTGATCCCGACACCTGGCCTCGCTCTGTTCCTCGAAGGAGCTGAGCTCAGAGCCTCTTCCTCTGCCTGAACTCCCCCCTTCTGGGCCCAGCTAACCGCTCCCATCTTTCAGGGCTCAGCCGGGCTCCTTCGAACGGGGTCAAACCGGCCCTTGAATGCGCTCACACCCCCCCCTCCAGGTACAGTGACACTGGCTGGGGGGTAACTTGCACCAAGCCCCCGTTCCCTGTGGCGTGCCTAACACACAGTGGGTCTGCAGGGAAGGTCCACTCAGCCCCGCGCCCTTCCCTCCCAACTGCAGGTGAGCAAGCAGCTGTGAACGCGGGCACCTCTGCACGGTCAGGGCCGAAGTGCCCCAAAGCGGGGGAGCCGGGGGGCTGCAGCGGATTCCCCGCGGGGAAGACGGACTCTGCCTGGGACTCGTCCCCCAGCCCGCCAGCCCACGGTTGGTCTGGTCCCAAGCCTCTTGCTCTTTGTCCTTGCCCCCGCCTCGCGCTCACTGCTCCTTGTTCCCATGGCCTCCGTTCCCGCTCATCTCCCTGGTCCTCCACTGGGGGGTTTGAGCAGCGCGGTGACCCGTGCTATTGGCACGAAACAAACACGCTCACTCCAGCAGCCGTGGCCTCCTGGCTTCTTCCCCAGCTCTTGGCTCTTGGCTCCGGCCTCAAGGACTCAGCTTTGGCCTGGGTCAGCAGGGGGTGCTGGGTCCCCCCACCGCTCCCCTTACCATCTGCTGCAGATGAGCAGCGGAGTCTTCTCCTCCTCCAGGGCCCTCAGCATCTGGGTCACCTCCTCACTCAGCTGGGTCTGGTCCAGCCTGGGGCACAAAGGAGGCCTGGTTCTCCCGGGATGTTTGTTGCCCCCTCGGGGTCTCTGTGTTCTCACTTCTGACACAGGTGGGTCCTCTGCGCGTGTGTGAGCCACAGACAAGGTGGAAGGCGAGAAGCCCCGCGCCCTGTACGGGGAGGGCACACCCCGCTCATCGCTGCCTGGGTGGGGGAGGGGGATGGCCGGCTGCGTGGACGGTCGCCCCGTGGGTCGGGTCCCGGGGTCCAGGAGGGGAGGAGGCAGAGACCTTTGCGGCCCGCCAGAGGACAAGCAGCCAAGATGTGACTCGTGGCCGCTGAGCCGGGGCCAAGTCCCTCCTGCCCGCAAGGACCAGGCCTGGCAGGCCCTCCCACATGTGGGAGACCATGAGAGCCAAGAACACCGCGTGGGGAGGGGGCTGAGGGTGGAGGCGCCGGCCCCTGGGTTGTGAAGGGTCAGCTTTGGGAGGACCCCCGTGCCGCCCGTCCAGCCCCTGGTGTCGGGCCCCCCTCTCCCTAGGTCTGAGAGCCCAGGCTGCTTGGACCCCCTCCGAGGGCCAGGGGCCAGAGCGTGCGGGTCCTGGAGCCCCAGCCTGCTGAGTGACACAGGGCCCAGCCTCAGGGAGGGGTGTCGCCAGAAAGAGCCATGGGCTTGTTTTCAGGCTGTGGGGGAAGGAGGCACAGGGAGAGCCCGGTGGGGACGGCGGCTCCCTGGGCTGACTGTGCAGGACCTCAGGGCAGGAGGGAGGGCGGCCCGCTCTGCTCTGCGCCCGTCCTGCCCGGGGCCGCTCCCCCTGCCTGCACCTGCCCAGCTCCTGCTTCTGCCTGGGGTCTCGGCCTCGGGGCCCCTCAGTCCACTCCATCACCCCCCACCCTGAGACCCAGAAGACCTTGGCTTTCCCTTCACAGCCCTCTGTGGAGCTCAGAAATCCACATTTGTGCATTAGCATGCGACTAGCGTCCCCCTCGTTCCCACTGGAGTGTGAGCATCAGGAGGGCAGGGCCCACGTCTGCTTGCTCCCTCCTGTGTCCTCGGAGCCTGCCCGGGGCTGGGCCGTGGGAGGCACGCAGCTCCTGACCATCATGCCCCCCCGGCCAATTCTCTCCCCAGACTGTCCACGTTCGCACATGCGTTGTACTCCTTGCAGCTTGCAAGGTGGGCACATGGTCACATCACACAAATGAAGACACTTGAGTCTCTGATGAAGACTTGCCCGAGTCCCGCGGCCTGGGTCAGTGTGGGAGCCGATGAGAAGCCCACGCTGACCTACATTTATGGGGCCCTCCTCCTCCCCCCGTCCACTTCCACAGCCTTACGACCCTGCCACCCCGCGTGTCTCCCCTCCCTGGCCCTGCCGCCAGGGCCCTGCAGGCCTTACCACAGGAGTGTGAGCCGGCAGGCAGGGTGCCCGAGCCCCCAGCAGAGTAGCCACATGCCGACGTCCTGCAGCTCCTTCTGCTGCAGATCGAGCTCCTTCAGGCTGGGGCTGGCGCCCAGTGTGGAGGCCAGGGCCAGGCAGCCACCGGACGTGAGGCCACAACCTACCAGCCTGCAGGGGAGATGCGCCCGGGCCCGCCGTCAGCATCCCGAGCACCCTCTCCTGGGGTAACTGCGGGCTGGTTTCCCTTTCTAGGACCTGTGGCCCTTAGGAGGTTCTGGGGTGACAGTAAAGGGACCTGAGGGATTTTAATTTTCCTCCTGCATCCAAGGAGGCACGCAGGAGGGAGGCAGCCTCCCCCGCCCGCCGCTGTAACCGCGCATGACTGATCGCCCAGTGTCCCCTTGCACGGCTGGGTCTCGATGCTAACCACGCCGAGCCTGCTGGGCGCCCAGAGCCCACTGACGTGGCAGCCCTGGCGGGTCTCAACACTCAGGGCGTCTATGATGCAGGAGAACAGACCGTGAACTTCTAACATCGGACAGAAAGCTCAGGGGAGGGAGGGGCTTCTGTGGGAACGGAGGGTCTGTCCCGCTCTGTCCCCCCAGCGCCCAGCTTCTGTCTGCCCCATGGACCGAGGGCAGCTCCCGCCACCCCCCAGCCCACCCCCACAAACTGCCTGTGAGCAACTCACCACAGCCAGCATAGCCTGCAGCCCGGCCGTCTCAGCCCCTTGCAAAGGTGCCCGGCTCCCTTGTCCAGGAGCGAGTTGAAGCTCCGCTCCAGCTCGGTCAGGGTCTGGCTGGAGCTCAGCGCCGAGGCGAGGTCCCTGCAGCCCTCAGCCGTGACACCACAGCCGGCCAGCCTGTGGGAGCCACACACCCGCCGACTCCAGGACACCCGCCAACGTCCGGCCACCTCCCCACGCTCAGCCCTCACGCAGCCCTTCTCCTTCCCTTCCGTCCCAGAGGCACCCAAGTCTCTTCCCTCATGCCCTCCAGCCTCTGCTCTTTCTGCACCCCCTCTTTCAGCTCACCAGCTCCTTCTCTTTGCCTAAGTAATATGTTCAATTCAACATCCGCCCCCCCCCAAGCAGAACACTCCGGTATCCTTGATCCTAGCCCGTGCAACCTCTTACGGGAGGGTTCCAGTCATCACTTAGGACTTTGCTGGAGGGTCTTACATGGTCTTGCATCCAAAGGCAATAAAGCTCTGAGCTCTCCCAGTGTTTCCAGTGAGGGGAACGAGCCACATCTGCCTGAACCTAGCGCTGATGCTCTTGGGGGAACACTCCTTCTTTTTATGACATGACCCCAGTGAGCCGGCACGAGCCAGATCCGGGCTTTCCTGACGGAGAGGTCCGACCGTGTCCTCACGGGGTCCTCGCTTCAGCTCTCCCTGTTTCTGGCTGGAAATTGGGGCAAGCCAGCTGATCTCCCTGAGCCTCAGTTCTCATCGTCGGGGAAACAGAAATAATTGTCCCTGCTGTGCTATGTTCACGGGTTCTTTCCTGAAGACCCCAGAAGTCACGGAGATTAGGAAGTTCTATACCCACGTGAGGGGCCCGTGGAAGATGGATGTCTCCCCCCCAGGGTGTGAGGCTGGGTTTCTGAGTCCCTTTCAGAAACCTTTGCTGCCAGACTCAGCGGCTTTCCGTGCAATGGTTTTGGGAGGGGATACAGGAAGTCACAACACAAGGCTGGATTTGCCTTCTTACTCCGTTGGCTTCCCTTTCTCTCCACCCTGCCCCCACCGCTTCCTTTTTTTCACTTCCCTTGGAATCTAGCTTAGGTGCCACGATGCGCCACCACCAACATCCTAAAAGTGACCTTCCATCACATCCTTCTGGCTAACCCCGAACTCCGCCACCTTCTTGCTCCCGAACCCAACCCCTACTCCCGCCTGAGTCACAGGGCAGGTGCGGCCGCTAGGAACCTCAACCGGGAGCCTCGGCAATGCCTGGCAGGTGGAAACCCCCCGCTGTACAGTGGCCACTTCAGAATGGCATCTTCCCCGAAACTCCACAGCCAACCCTCACACTCTCGGCAGACAACTCGATCCCTACCTCACAGAGAAAAATGGAGCCATCAGATGGAAACCCCGCAGCGTCCCACAGTCCCACCTGTGTGCCTCCGAGAAGACCTCCCTGCGTCCTCTCCAAGGCCAGTCACTTCCCTCCTCCTCCCCTATCGAGTACTGTTCTCCCTCTTCTATCTTTCATCATCGAATTTCAATTTCAGGTCTTTTCCTTAAATGCAAGCAACTAGTCAAACACACACACACACACACACACCTTTAGCTGGTCCCATGTTCCCCTCTGCTTTGACTCTTTCCTCTTACCACCAAAGTCTTGGTATTGTGGTCTCATTTTCCATCTCTGTCTCCCTCTGTTTAGTCCATTCCAGTCTGGATGCTGGCCCCTCACGTGACAGAAGCTGTTTCTGCTAAGATCATCCATGACTCGCCTAAGGCTAATCCAACGGTGCACAGTTTCCAGCCCTTGCTTTACTTGGCTTCCTGGCAGCAGTGGCCCCCGCTGGCCACCCCGTTCTCGGGACCCTCTGTTCCTTTGGGTTCCATGAAGCATACTCTCCATGGTGTTCTTCCCATCTCCCTGGCCGCTCCTTCTCAGTCTTCTTTGTTGGCTTTTCTTTTCTCGGGCAGTAAACATTGGGGGGATTCCCCAACGCTTGACATGCAGTCTTACCTTTGCATATGAATTTTAGGATCAGCCTGACCACTTCTGCAAGAAAGGCAGCTATGATTTTGACAGGGATTGAGCTGAATCTGTACAGTTTTGGGAGTGCTGCCATCACAATGATATTAATTTTTCCGATCCATGAACATGGGATGTCTTTCCATTATTTAAGGTATCACTTAATTTTTTAATCATGTTTTGTAGTTTTCGGTATATATACCGAAGTCTTTTGCTAAATTTACTCCTATTTTATTCTTTTCGATGCTATTTTAAGTGGAGTTGTTTTCTTAATTTTATTTTTGGATTGTTCATTGCTAGTGTGCAGAAGTACAACTGATTTTTATAGGTTGACCCTATATCCTAAAATCTTGGTGAATGTGTTCATTAGTTCTAACGGCTATTTCTGTGGATTCTTTATGACTTTCTATATGTAAGATGACACTATCTCCAAAGAGAGATCGTTTTATCTCTTCCTTTCTAACCTGGAAGCCTTTTATTTCATTTTCTTGCCTAATTGTCCTGGATAGAAAGTGCACTCAGCTTCCACGTCAGACCTCCTGCCCATCTCTGTTTCAGAGCAGGACCCAGCTCAGACTCACCGCAGGGCCTCCAAGTGGCAGCCAGGGAACCTCAGGGGCTCGCACAGACTCTGCAGCGCGGAGTGGCTCAGGCAGTTTCCACTCAGGTCCAGCTCCTTCAGGTTTCCAGTGGCCCAGAGAGTGAAAAAGAGAACCCGCCAGCAGGCATCCGTGACTGGGACCCCGCTGAGCCTGAGGGAGGGGGAGACGGACAGAAGAGGTGTGAGCTGTGTGGGCAGGGTCTGGGGTGCACATCCCTCTGCCCCTCAGAGTGCCAAGCCTGGGACTGACAGAGCAGGCTCCCCAAAGGCTCCTCTTCCCACCGCACCCCTGGGCTGCATGCCCGTCCTCTGTGTGGTTCCTCATTCTGCAACACTTGCCACACCATCCTGAAGTGTTCATTTTGTGTGTCTCTTTCTGTCTTAGTCTGGGAGTTCCTCGAGGGCAGATGTTATCATCTTTTTTATCTGCAGTGCCCAGCAGAGGTCCTGGTGCTGAGGAGGAGCTCGGGGAGCCCTCCTCCCTTCAATGCAGGCACACCTGTGTTCCTTTGGCACAGACATTCTGGAATCCTGGTGCCCAGAAAGGAAAGGAGGGAGGGGAGGAGGGAGCAGACACTGAGAGAGGTGGTCTGAGGATGACACGGGCGGGGAATGGTATATGTGACCGTGTATACTGCTGTCCGCGTTAGCTTGCTTGGGACACCCTCCCCTTCCAAAGATGGAGAGGGTCCCTGGGAGGAAGTGCCAAAGGGGAGTGTCTCAGGATGGAGGATGATGGGCTTCCTCTGGGGGTGTTAGAGCTGACTCTCTGCCCCATATAATTTCCCCACTCATTTAATGTTTCCGTTCTCACGCAAGGCTTTAGTGATCTCTCCTACGTCCAAGGCTTCAGCAGCTCAAACTCTATCCCGGGTTCCAGACTGGCATCTCCACCTCGACACCCAGTAGCACCTCGACTTAATGTGTCTCAGTGTGCCCCCCACAGCTAGTCTTCCCCCCCAGGTCTGCAGAGCCGGGCAGAGACAAGGACCAGAGTTCTAGAGCCAGGCGGCACACACGCATGCACGCACGCGCCCGAGCCTTGCTCCGTGTCCTCAGCTGCAGAAGGAGGGCAGCAAGAGACGCTCCTACAGAGGGTTTTGTGAGGATTGAGAGATATTACAGAGCTCTCCCAAAACCACCATTTGAAATCTTCATCATTTAAATTTCTTTTATGCTTATTTCGTTTGGTGGAATTCGAACCAATAAATTTTTAACTTTTTGTTTCAGCCGACATTTGCCATCTTTAATCAGAGGGGCTCTAATAAGAAACAGTTAAACATTTATTATTCAAAACACCATTCAGAATGAGGCCCTGCCGGGCTCCCTCATTACGGGGAGGACAGCGTCCATACGAAGATAAAGATCTGGGTGCCTGGCTGGTTCATTCGGTGGAGAGCGTGACTCTCGATCTCAGAGTCATGAGTTTGAGCCCCACCTTGGGGGTAGAGATTACTTGAAAAATAAAGATAGAGACTATAAAATAAAATGGACAGCATGGTCCAGCTCTGCCAAAGAGAGGTGTGTAGCGGAAAGATCGCGGGGTAGACCCTGATTCTTCATGATGGTCATCTCTGAGTGACAGAATGCTGGTCCATGTTGATTTTCATCAGCTTGCTTATCGACATATCCTAATGTTCTGCAGTCAACACGAACTTTATTGTGAAAAGAAAAAAATGTAAAAACATCAGAAAATAAAAGCCCCGAGTCCAACATTTCTTCCTCTGAGACCCTTTCTTTTTCCGCTCTACTCATGCGCTCACTCCCTTCCTCAGGCTCTGGCCGAGCCCTGTCCGTGCCTCTGTCCCCATGGGCACCACTCTCTATTCTAATTATGGGATGGGCATCTGTCTTCTCCCTCGGATTCTGAGTTTCTTGAGGGCAGAGATGGTGTTTTATTAGTGTGTGATCTCATAGCATAGAACCTAGCATAAATCGGTTCTTAATAAGTATTTATGGAATGAATCATCCAGGTACTAAGTTGCCAGTACTGCAACTGCGCTGGGGGGGGACCCAGATAGGGAAGCTCACAGGGTTGAAGAATTGGAGGATGGTTAGAGCAAGCTGCTCCATCAGCTCAAACGGGGTGGGTGTCAGGCTGAGCAAAGTGCATCAAGGGCACTAGTGCCCGGTGCCAGGCTGAGGGGGAGTGGCTCCAGTACCCAGCATGGCGGGACCACGGAGGGGCTGGCCATGGAGGGGCAGGGCGGGGGGGTGTGGGGTACTCACAGAGCCACCCTGGGGATCTCCACGGGTGTCTGCACCATCTGTGCGCATTCAACTGAAGCTTATTCACGTTGCAGAATTTCATGCAGAACGTAGACACCAGGAGCTCCAGGCCAGTGTGGACACACATGCTCGCCCCATGGAAATGGGCCATCACGTGTGCCAGGAAATCCTTGTCCTGAATCTTGTACAGGCAGTGGCACATGGGCAGAGAGCATTGCTGTAGAATGGGGAGCTGGCTGCAGACCTCCGCCTCCACCCAGAACAACAGTCCCTGTTTCTTCTCCCTAGGCACCTGGCACTGGAAGACCGCCTCCATCTGTCGCTCCCCCTGCTCACTCAGAAGGCCCAACATGAAACGCATGGTTGGTACCCTAAACGGGTTGAGACTCCCATATGCCTTTAGCAGGTTTTCCGGCTCTCTGGTGCTGTCGGGAGGGTGGATTTTCCTGTCCTTGCCCCCCAGCACGCAGGACACTGCTGCAAAGAACTCTTGGAGGGACCGGTGAGCAAAGCAGTAGCTCAGGGAGGAGGGATGCTTTCGAAGAGTGCCCATGTTTAAGAGAGTGGAGATGGTGGCCTCCTCCAACTCACACTTCCTGAGATCCTCCCAACTGAGCAGGCTCCTTCCCTGCCAGATGCCCTCGGCAGCTGGAGCACAGAGGCCCCTCAGCTGAGTCCCAAGGGGTTGGGCTGGCAGAGCTTGGGAAAAGTAGTGCAGACAGAGGGCTGTGGTGGTCTGGGGGGGCAGTGAGAGCTCATCTCCCTGCTCCATCTGCTTCTTCACGCAAGTGCAGACCAGCCAGGACACCAAGGGCATGAGACACATGGTCAGCAGTGCTTGGTTTAACTCAGCCGAGCTAAAGGCTCTGACTGCTTGGCTTTCACTCCTGAAATATTTGTAGAAATACTCCTTCCGGCCAGACTCGGAGAACCCCAGGACCTCCATCCACCGTGGCCGCTCCGCAGAGAGAAGGAACTTTTGCAATGCCGTGGTCCGCGCCATGATCAGCAGAGATGCCTCGGGGAGTATGGTTTTCCTGAGCAACCTGCCCAGCAGAGCGTGTGTACCGGCTTCTGCTCCCTCAAGACCCACGTTGGCTCATCCAGGTCATCGAGGATGAGGAGCAGTTGTCCCAGCTGAGACAGGATCTGTTCAGTGGGAACCACGGGGGCAGCCCGGCCCTTTGTGATGAGCTCTGTGAGACTCATCGTCTCGGGCTGGGCCAGTTCCCTGCAGCTGAAGTAGAGGACGTGAAGTAGAGAAGCGGTCCCTGTAGAGCCGGCCTTCCTCCCGGGTCCTCCTCACCTGCCTGGCCACCTCTGACTTCCCGATGCCAGTAACCCCGTGCAGGATGACAGTTCGAGGTTTTTCCTGGGCACCCAGGCCTGGGCCAAACAAGTCTTTGACCTCAATCAAATGTCCTTGCTCCTCTACCGCCCCGTGGTGCCAGTCCCCCTTGGTTAGGGACTCCTGGCATCTGCGGTGAGGTTGATTGAGAAGCAGCAGTTGTATGACTTCTTGGTGCAAATCCTCAGCGCCCCACGACGCTGTGGGGCAGGGCCTCTTCGTCCTCAGGTGTGGTGCCTTCCTACGTAAGGGAAAGGAAAGATGGGACAGAGAGGTGCAGCCTAGATCTGCTCCCATGTGCTCATTCACCCGTTCACCCGGCAGCTGTTTGAGGTGCCCACTCCAAGCCGCGTGCTGTGCGCGCTGCCGACGCCCCGGCACACTCCTGCCAGGGCCGTGGGAGGGGCCTGGGCTGCGGGGAGAAAGTCCCAGCTCGCCTTCACTTGACCAAATCGTGCTCCCTGGGGACTTCCCTTCATGCTGCAAATAGTCACCAAGGGCTTACTCTGCTCCAGGCTGAGGGCGAAGAGCGAATGAAACATACAGCACAACTCTGCTCTCATTAAGCCCGTGGCCCGAGCCATTTGCCCCACTGGGCCTCAGTTTTCTCGCCTGTAAACTGGGGATCCCGACACGTCCTTGTAGGAGGTCATAGGGGAGCGAAGGGCATAAGGTTGACCTCAGCGCCCGCCATGGAAGCACGTCCCATCTGCCCACACCTGTGGTTGTCGGTCTGAGGGCTGTCTCCAGGAGGAGGCCTCGACCCACCAACGGCAGAGGGCGGACCCCTGCCCCCAGGAGAGACAACTCTGCAGTGCGTTCTACACCGTCTCCCACAGATTCTAGAAACATCAAATCTCAGTCTCTCAATAGGTGAGTTATGCTGTCTTCCTTCCTCCCTGTTTCACTTCTCTCTCCTGCTGTTGCCTCCGGGGAGTCACTTCCCCGGTAAACCACCTGCACCCACATCCTGTCTCAGGGGCTGCCTCTGGGGAGCCCACTGGAGACAGACAGAGAGGTGCGCTGTGAACTGTGAGGGGCTGAGTACCTCTCAAAGACTGTCCCCCAGGAAGGGACCTTGGGCTCCTATCTTCGATTCCACATGGAATCATTGTTAAAACCCCATCCCTTCTTCCACTCAGAACATTCTGAGCGCTTCTCACTTCTCTCCTTCGGCAGATTTTAGAGGTGGTATAAGTGATTCCTTTGGGTCCCGAGGTTCAGCTCACCTTGGAAAACCTGCAGGGCCTCCAGAGTTGAAAGTTACATTTCCTACCTTTGTGGGCATGTGAGGAAGAATCTGGGGGAGATGGGGCATGTGGGGTCAATATATGCCTTTAGCGTTGGTGAGTCTAGGGTGATAGAGGGCCACCCCCACCTCTGAAGTCATGACCTATAGATCTGCTTTTATTGTCACTTGTGGGAACGTTTCTGGCAATGTGACAATCTTCTAGGAGCTCAGGATGGCCACTCTGGGTCACAGGTATGGGCTGCCCCACTCAGGTCCTTGTGTCTGCCTGAGGTACCAACAGAGGGCTTAGTTCTTCTCGGTGCCATGTTCTCCAGAACATCCTGGTTTTCTTGGATCTGTAAAGACTTAAATCCTCTTTATTCAATTATACTCTACTCTTTTCATGAATGCAAATAGCTTCAGAGGGCTCAAGAGTTCAATTAAGAACCTACAGCAACACAATGCAGAAAAAAATAACCACATAAAAAGGATTGCTGGGTAGATCAACCTAGCATAGACATCTGGGGAAGGCTAGGGACAATGAAGAAGGGGGAGGGTTACAAGTATCAGCCATGCAACAGGGGCCATTGTGGTCCCCAGCGGTCTGCTCCAGGGAGGAACCAGCAGTCTTTGCTGCTGAAGACTTCAGTGGCCCTACTGTGGACTACCTGCAGTTTTCACAGAAGAGGACCCCATAATGGTTGTTGGTGTGGACTCCCAACAGCCTGCTACACACTGGACGCCAGCAGCTTCTGCCACTGAGGTAACCAACAGCCATCCCCACTGTGGACTCCTCAGTGGGGAGATGATGCTGTGCCCCCTTCCTGAAAGTGTTGTTGCATTGCCCTGGGACTGAGGTTGCCAGATTCCCCAACTCTGTACATGCCCTGGACCCCAGAGCTCTGGATGCTCTGTGTGCATCCATGCTTTAGACCCCAACTCTGTGGTTACTCTGTGCACCTGTGCATCAGATACCAGTGCATCAGATACACCAACCCAAGGGTGCCTGCAAGCTGGAACCAGTGCCAAGAGGGATCCCCTGGGCCATGATATCCCCAGGGGCAGGATAAGAGATCAGGAGGTCCCCAGCAGCCTAGGCTATTGAGAACCACTTCTACCTTCACTGACACTGATCTCAGATGATGGAGCTATATGGGGATTGCCAGAGCCTTTCCTGGAACCAGAATTGTGACCCCCACCCAACCTGTGCCCTCACAACCACCCACAGACGAAGGCCTTTCCCCACCAAAACCAGTCCATTAAGTGGAAGATGTGAATGCCCCATCCAATGCACAGACATGAACACAAAGCTAAGGATAAGGAAACATGACACCCCAGGGGAACACCATACTTTTTCAGCAATCAACCGCCCCAAAATGGAGATCTGTGAATTGCCAGACAAAGAATTCAAAATAATTCTTTCAAGGAAGCTCAGAAAGCTACATGAAAACACAGGTAGGTAACTCAATGAAACCAGGAAAACAGTACACGACAAAACAAGAAGTTCAACAGAGAGACAAAATTCATAAAAAAGAAACAAGTAGAGATTCTGGAGCTGAAGAATACAATGAGTGAAATGAAAAACATGCAACGGAGAGCATCAACAACACACGTGATCAAGCAGAAGAAAGAACCTGTAAACTCTGAGGCAGGTCATTTGTAATCATCCAGTCAGAGGAGAAAAAAGAAAAATGCATAAAAAAGAGTGAAGAAAGCCTATGTGAATTATGGACACCATCAAACAAAGTAATATTTGCATTATGGGAGGCCCAGAAGGAGAAGACAAAGAGAAAGGGACAGAAAGCTTATTAAAGAAATAATGGCTAAAGATTTCCCACAGCTGGGGAAAAGATATGGACATCCAGGTCCATGAAACTCATAGATCTCCATACAGATTAAACCCAAAGAGGATTTAATTTATATGTATTATAATAAAACTGTAAAATAAAACAACCCAAAGACAGAGAGAATTTTGAAAGCAGGAAAAAAAAAAAAAAAAGACTCATCATATGCCCGGGATCTCCCATAAGGCTGTCAGCAGATTTCCCAGCAGTGAAACACTGCAGGACAGAGTGGGCTGACATATTTATTCAAAGTGCTGAAAGTCAACAACAAGACAGAAGAGAGACAAATCAAGGAGTCAATCCCATTTACAATTGCACCCAAAACCATAAGATACCAAGGAATAAATTTAACCAGAGAGGCAAAGGATCTGTACTCAGAAAACTATAAAATACTCATGAAAGAAATTGAAGAAGACACAAAGAAATGGAAAAACGTTCCATGCTCATGGATTGGAAGAACAAATATTGTGAAGATGTCAATGCTACCTAGAGCAATCTACACATTCAGTGCAATACCCATCAAAACACCATCCACTTTTTTCAGAGAAATGGAACAAATAATCCTAAAATTTGTATGGAACCAGAAGAGACCCCGAATAGCCAGAGGAATATTGAAAAAGAAAAACGAAGCTGGCGGCATCACAATTCCGGACTTCCAGCTCTATTACAAAGCTGTCATCATCAAGACAGTACGGCACTGGCACAAAAACAGACACATCGATCAATGGAACAGAATAGAGAGCCCAGAAATAGACCTTCAACTCTATGATCAACTAATCTTCGACAAAGCAGGAAAGAATGTCCAGTGGAAAAAAGACAGTCTCTTCAATAAATGGTGTTGGGAAAACTGGACAGCCCCATGCAGAAGAATGAAAGTGGACCATTTCCTTACACCACACACAAAAATAGACTCCAAATGGTTGAAAGACCTAAACGTGAGACAGGAGTCCATCCAAATCCTAAAGGAGAACAGAGGCAGCAACCTCTTCGACCTCAGCCGCAGCAACTTCTTCCTAGAAACATCGCCAAAGGCATGGGAAGCCAGGGCAAAAATGAACTATTGGGATTTCATCAAGATAAAAAGCTTTTGCACAGCAAAAGAAACAGTCCACAAAACCAAAAGACAACCGACAGAATGGGAGAAAATATTTGCAAATGACATATCAGATAAAGGGCTAGTATCCAAAATCTATAAAGAACTTATCAGACTCAACACCCAAAGAACAAATAATCCAATCAAGAAATGGGCAGAAGACATGAACAGACATTTTTCCAAAGAAGACATCCAAATGGCCAACAGGCACATGAAAAAGTGCTCAACATCGCTGGGCATCAGGGAAATCCAAATCAAAACCTCCATGAGATACCACCTCACACCAGTCAGAATGGCTAAAATTAACAAGTCAGGGAACGACAGATGTTGGCGGGGATGCAGAGAAAGGGGAACCCTCCTACAGTGTTGGTGGGAATGCAAGCTGGTGCAGGCCCTCTGGAAAACAGTATGGAGGTTCCTCAAACAGTTGAAAATAGAGCTACCATACGATCCATCTATTGCACTACTGGGTATTTACCACAAAGATACAAATGTAGGGATCTGAAGGGGTACATGCACCCCAATGTTTATAGCAGCAATGTCCACAATAGCCAGACTGTGGAAAGAGCCAAGATGTCCATTGACAGATGAATGGATAAAGAAGAGGTGGTATATATACACAATGGAATATTATGCAGCCATCAAAAGGAATGAGATCTTGCCATTTGCAACGACGTGGATGGAACTGGAGGGTGTTATGCTGAGTGAAATAAGTCAATCAGAGAAAGACATGTATCATATGACTTCATTGATATGAGGAATTCTTAATCTCAGGAAACAAACTGAGGGTTGCTGGAGTGGTGGGGGGTGGGAGGGATGGGGTGGCTGGGTGATAGACATTGGGGAGGGTATGTGCTATGGTGAGCACTGTGAATTGTACAAGACTGATGAATCAAGGATCTGTACTTCTGAAACAAATAATGCAAT